GCGGTCGCCATCTCTCTAACAACTAGGCCGTCTTCGGGCAACCTCAGTTATGGCGTTCTTTACGTTCCCTGCAGGTTTAGCACACCACCTGGCACCTACCACCTGCCGAGAGAATCCTTCCCCGACACACTGAAGGAGAGAGAGGACAAGCGCCGATTTAGAGACAACCAAGTCGAGAGGTCTACCTTGCCCGGCATCTCCCGCCACAAGATCATGTGCCGGTACGGCTAATGCATCGGACTCTTATTCTATCGTCGCCGCCGTCCATGCAAAAGGCAATCTACGGCCGCGGCGAGTTACCTCCACTACCCTCGACACGTGCAAAACGAGAGTGAATCTTCCGCTAGAACATCGACAGGTGCACCGCCATCTGAGAGTAGCGGAGCGAGGCCCAAAGATTGCTTGTGTTCCGGTATTTTGCTTGTGTTCGAGTGTTCGGTAGTTTTGGGAACCTTTTAGAGTATACATTTACATTTTCGGACAAGGACTTCGGTGTACGAATTTTGACCGCAAATACGACCACATTCGTCCAGTGCAAAAAGTTCCCAGCGGATTCTAACTTACCAACCGGCCTCTCGGTATTACCGGTGGAAAGCTGATGTCCTCGCAGGAAACGGCCTACTTCAGTTGGTACACCGAACTGTTGAAGATGTGGCCTCGAGCTGAAGATGTGGTCTCGAGCTGGAATCCCTTACAGACAGTGAAATAAGTTTCTGAAAATTACCCGGGGGAAACGAAATGCAAAAAAAGGAGAGAGAGAGTCCTGCAAACTAGGCAGTGTCGGGCGTGGGCGGACCGTCGTTACCGCTGGCGCTACGGCGCTCGGTCGTAACGCTGCCTGCTTCGGCAGGCCTGGTTGGCGGCGAAATTCCGACGTGGAAATTGAGCCGTGGGTGACGCCCCGATATCCTTGCCTTGTCAAGGAACTATGGCGGTGGCCATAGCTGGTGACGTCAGCAGCTAGTAGTATCCGCCCTGCCCTGCCTATACTGTTATACGCTTCAGCTTACACTGTCATACGTGTAATACGTAATCTTTCTGTTGTTGTCTAGCTAATATCTTCCTCGTATTAGGGGAAAACTGGCTCAAAGAGAAGTTGGCCGTCAATCAAGATGGAAGCAGAGCCCCCCCCGCAGGGCACAGGGGGGAACGGACCAAGGGGCAAGGAGCCAAGTACCCGGAGATTACCGAATGGAGGAGGAACGAGTCTTGGAGATGGTCAGAGCTTGTTACGAGGAAGGCATCGTCCCAACAGATATTGACCCAGGAGTCATGGAAGTCAATGGAAGAGAGGTGAAATTCACCTTGAACAATGTGGTGAACGAAGTCAAGGTGAAGTGGCTTAAAGGAAGGACAGTCACAGTAATCTTTCGTGAAGGGGCTAGGTTTTTGCCAAGGAAGGTGAAGGAAGATGCTATACGAGCTTATGAAGATGGCTAGATTAGCGATGAGCTGTTTGGACAGGAATTCAAGAGGGGCAGAATAAAGGTGGAGAGTCCAAATGTGGTCTCGTATATCCCAAGAACGCAAGAGGTCACCAATTGGATGCTTACTAAGCGATCGGACTTCATAGAACTGGCGGGAGTTATATACCATACAGAATTTAAGCCATGGATGACTCGTGCGGAACTTAGGGATTGGAGGAAGCTGGTGGATCAGGACACGTTTTGGGTAGTAGCTGTCGGAGTCCCTCTTGATGAGATGGTGTTTATTCATGTTCACGTTGAGAGAGCCATCAGCAAAATCGTGAAGCGTCACCTTCCTGAAGCGGATGAGTCTGATCCTAAACTGGTGAACTTACGCTTCGACATCGAGCCATCCAACAGAGACTGCATGAAGTATAAGATTTGGATTCAAACACATCAAGGGGACGTGCTGGAAGTCAGGCTGGCAAACGCCGACACGGAGTGGTGCGGGAGATGCCGTAATTTCTTTCATACGGAGGATACCTGTAGGAGACCAAGTCGTCGAACTTGAGGTGGTTACTCCAACATTCAGTAGCCTACGTTCACTACTCGAACTGGCAACGCAAGGCAGCCCTATCAGGGCCCTCTTCGCGCTCCGGGGGGTAGCCTTCAACAACAACCACAAGGTAACGCGGCTACATCAGCGGTTCCGGGAGAATCAAGTGCTACGGCAGGTGTCAACCTACGCAGCAACCCAATGTTTTCACCAGGAGAAGCACTAGCACATCAAGTACATCAAGTGATTGGCAACCTCCATGCTTCTCAAGCTGGCGCAACTAATTCGGGTATGTTACCGGGTGGTTGGGCGTCTCTGCTGCAAGGGATACCCTCTCACCCGTTCGTTATGCAACAGTCGACAGGTCAACTGAGGGCGCCTCAACTGGGTGTAAGCCCGTCTCTCACGAATCTTCATGCCTTTGTTCCTTGGAGCCAAGGTTGGACCGGTATGGTGCCAGGGCAGCAACCAGGCAATCTGGGTACGGCAGCTCAATTCCCTCCTCCTCCTGTGGGAGGTCAGGGACATGTGCTCAGTGGGAGCCGATCCCGAGGAGAATCCCCAGGGAAACAAAGGCGAATTTCAGAAGGAGGTGGTATTGAGATTCGGGTGGATGAGGTTCGTGCAAAAGCCTCGGGCAGTTCGAATGAAGGTTCGTTTAACTCCGACACACCCTCGTCAACGGCAGGTAAACGCAAATCTACCTGTGCCCGAATGTATGCGTTGTCCAAAGGACAAACGGTCATGGAAACTAAGCTATTACCGATTATCTGCTCATTCGTTCGTGATTCAATCTGGATAGTTTCGTGGTTGGGTATCGATGGGGGTCCGCTGTTATTTAATATGAACTGTCCGGAATCCCTGATGCCGCTTGCCTCCGAAACGCTTCCAAGAAACTTATTTCAGAATAAGTTCTCCATGCGCATTATCGTTGAGATCTTCATCCCTCGGTTTCTGGTCGACACAGCAGGAAGAAGGGTTAAGTATTATTCCCCTCTTTTCGATGCTCGATTTCTTCTAGGCTAGTTGGGCAGCTGGAGACTGAAGGTCTTCGATTGCTCCCACTAGCCTGGTTTTCAGAGGGAAGCAAATCCGATCTCCGGAGGGTTAAAGTATCTCCGGAGTTATCTGCCGAATTCCTGTTTGAACTGAATGCAAAATTGGGAAAGGACAAGAAACTCAATTCACAGTTTCTCAAACAGGTCTTGGTATCTGCCTGGCCTCAGGTAATGGTGGGACCCTCTTCCTCTTCTTCCCAGATCCAACCGACTGGAGCCTCTGCCCAGAATGGGCAGGCTTAATGTTGTCTCATGGAATGTTCACGGATTGGGAGATACGTCGGGTAGGAATAAGAAAGGAAGGATTAAGAGTTGGATTCACGAAAAGAAGATCGATGTTATGTGTCTCCAAGAGTGCAAATTGTCGGAATCCAAGATTGAAGCCCTGGGTGCATGGTGGGATGGCCCACAGATCTGGTCCCCGACCAGGGGCTCACGAGGGGGAGTTGCTATTTTGGTTAATCGAAATCTCCAAGCAGAAATTGTTGATTATTTTTGCAAATCTATGGGGAAGGTGGTCCTGGATAAAGCTCTGGAAAGAGGGTCACGAATGGGTAATTGTCAATATTTATGCCCCAACGGATTTACGGGAGCGAAGAATATTTTTTGAAGATCTTCCTCTGATTATCCCAGACTGTGAATATCTTGTCCTTGCTGGGGATTGGAATTCTTCTTTAGACAGGTATGAGTCAGTTCGGGGCAATTCATACGCAAAAGCGTTGCTCGACGTAATGGCGGAAATAGATTTAATCGAACCATATAGCTTACTTCATCCGGAAGCGCCTGGCTACACTTGGTTTTCTAATGTGCGGGAGGGGGTAGACTCTATTTGCAGAAGGCTCGATTTCTTTCTTCTGTCGCCGGCTGCATGGAATGCCACGATAGACATTGTAGAGTGCCCACAGACTCTTTCTGACCATAAACCGGTCTGGGCTAGTTTTAATTCCTTGAAACCAGAGAGAGGCCCGGGTTATTTTAGAGTCAATACTCAGATCCTCAAGGATCCCGGTGCAATTGATTGGATGGAAAGGTTTTGGAATGATTGGAAGAAGAATGCTGATTCGTTTCCCTCAAAGGCTGATTGGTGGGATGCTGGTTCCCGCATCTTTTCAAGTCACCTGAGTCTCTTCTCACGGATTTTAGCAGCCGTACGGAAGAACCGGGAAAATGATATGATTAGGAAGATCGATTATGCGGAGTCGATGATGAATCTCCATCCCATCTCTAATCTGGTCTGGAGCCCTGTGAGGGAAAAACGGATGCCTGAGTGAGATTCATATCAACAGGAACAGTCTTAGTTATGGTCAGAACGTCTGATGGTCAAAGGAATTGAAGTATATGATCGGATATCTAGAGAGTCCTTTCAAAAACTACTCCTGAAACGTCTGTCTCATTCGATGAGTCAACTTATGCATCCGTTTGATAGAGAACTCCCGATAGCGTGCGATCAGTCTCAACTATGCTCCTACGCTGTAATGTATTATCAGGATATCCTTACGACTAGAAGACCACAAGAAGATATTAATACGGATCTTACTGTCGGGTCTAGTCATTGGTCCTCATTCACGGCTAGACTCCCTGTGCATGGTAAGTTAGATCTAGATCGCCCGATAACAGTGGAGGAAGTCAAGGAAGCTCTTTGCTCTATGGCCAAGGGAAAAGCCCCAGGGGATGATGGCCTACCCGTTGAGCTCTATCTACTGATTTGGGATTCGGTTAAAGAGGACCTAGTGGACATCTATAATCAGGTTCTGCTGGGGACAAGCTTATCGAAGGGTATATCCCTACTATACAAGAAAGGTGATCGGTCTGAGATAAGAAATTGGAGACCAATTTATGTACTAAATGTGTCATATAAACTCCTGGCCAAAATCCTGGCAAGGAGGTTGGGCCGTTACCTGCCTGAGTTGGTGAACAAGGATCAAGCATCTTTCGTGCAAGGCTGTTCTATATTTGATAATATAGTAACGGCTATTGAATCCCTGAAAGTAGTAGAGAACACATCTGCAGATGTCATGATACTTATATTAGATCTTGAGAAAGCTTATGATCGTGTGAACTGGACTTATGTCTTGTCTACACTCAGACATCTAGGCTTTGGGCAAAACTTGTGTAGATGGGTGATCGCCTTATATTCACAGTCAACAGCGGCAGTAATGGTAAATGGTAATGTCTCGGAGCCCTTCGCCCTAACTAGATCTTTACGTCAGGGATGTCCATTGCCCCCTCTCTTGTTTGTGTTGCAAATAGAGAACCTCCTCTGCAACATAAGAGCAAAGTTGAAAATTAGGGGTTTGGTAACATGTACTTCTCAATGCAAGGTAAAGGCATTGGCCGACGACTTGTTTGCAATATCTGAAAACACTGGGTCTTCTTTGGTGGCTCTAAAGTCTTGTCTGGATGAATATTCAGAGCTGTCAGAAGCATCCGTGAACTGGTCGAAATCGGTGTTCTTTCTCCCTGTGCCACATACTCCTATAATGAACTGGGGGATGAAACGAATAAAGTCAGGGGAGTCGGAGAGGTTTTTAGGGGTTCACGTTGCCTTGCTATCTTGTACAGTTGACCAGGAGAGCATCCTCTTACAGCGTTCTATGCAGAGAATCTCCACTTGGGGTAAGGCGCATCACCTATCAATTTTTGGCAGTGCTATGGTAATTAACTGTGCCCTTTTTACACTATTGTAGTTCGTTGCCGCCGTCAGACCATTGGGTAAGAACATGTGTACCCTGATAAGAAGACGATCGGCCAGCTTCGTTTGGAAACCTTTCGCCAAGGAGGGGGAAGGTTTCCTTTCGAAGGTTGCTTGGGACCAACTATGCTTCCCTAAACTGGAAGGAGGGTTAGGACTGATAGACCCCCAGCGGAAGAGCATTGTGATGCTTATTAGGTGGATGGTTAAAGCGATGTGCTCCAACGAGGATGCCCACTGGATCTCTTTAGCTGAAGAAATTTTGGCCTCAGAATGGAATTTGAGTAGACCCTCAGACGTTTAGACCCGTTTATTGCTAAACTCATACCAAAACCGAACAGTCAAGTCGGATTTCTGGAGAGCAATAATTTCTGCCTGGAAGAAACTCAGGCCAACTCCCTGGTCGAACCAAGTCACGAAAATGGAAGTCCTATTGCAACCACTTTTCGACAACCCGTATATCTGTACGGAAGATGGTGCTTGTTTTTCAGCCGCCTCGACCAGCAAGAGCTTCGGTAAATGTTGGATTGAACGGGGAACACTCAGGATCAATGATATCTGGGACAACCTCTCCAATCAATGGGTCTCCTCGTCAGAACTGAGATCACGTCTGGGTCCAGTTTGGTACGTGGAAGAAAGATTGAGTAAGCTTATTCAAGCTATTCCGGCTGATTGGTGCTATATTTTGAGTCCAGAAGGAGTCGACCCTCCAGGGACTTGGTATATGTCACGTCCCTTGGTGGAGAGTCCTTCCTTCTGGAAGCTCATGAGGATTGAGTTGAACGGGAAAAGAGTTTTTCAACAGTGGCAAGGTATATCTGGAACATGTTCTTTATCCCTCCAGGAGGATGAGACACATCCCCCCCTGGATGAGACGCTACTCCAAACTAGAGTCTGGGAAGATTGTAATGAGGAAGGTGTATGGTCCTGCAGACTGTTTGCACAAGGTAAATCATTGATGGAGTTAAGAGTTGACCCGAAATTGTGGGGCTGGCAAGGAGAAGGTGTGGGAGGAGCAAATCTACCACTGAATCAATACTCGGTTGCCCAACGATATAATGCCTTGCGTTCCACCCGCTCCCCAATCCAAATGGCCACCTCACGGTGGAAGCAAGTGCTAGACTGCGAAGCCAGCCAGATTGAGAAAGCCATCTCTCGCTGTTGGTCTCAACTTATACAGGCTCCGAACTTGCGTGCAGTTGTTAATCTATGGTTGCTCTCGTTGTTTACTACCCCCTTGGCGATTACTTTGTTTCAGCGGGGTATGCAAGTTGAGCTAACCTGCAAGAGGTGTGGTTGGGCATATGAATCCACCAACCATCTTTGGTATGATTGCCCAGCTTCGAAGTGCATTTGGGACTGTTGGCAAAAATTTTGGGAATCTATTTCAGGGAACTGTATGTCATGGGATAGGTTGTGGGTGCTACTGGGGGAATTCTAGACAACATGGATCTTTATAAAGGATGGGGATATGTTGCTCAGGCAACAAGGGCAGTGGGATGTGAGGTGATTTGGAAACATTGCAACCTGTGAATTTTCGAAAACAGAGAGATGACCAATAAAGAAATCAGATTGGGATTTAAATCCTCTCTGCGCCGTACTATTTAGGCGGACTGGGCAGGGAAAGGTAAGAAAACTTCGGGAAGGTGGTTTGGTGAAACCTGGGGTTTGGGAGGAAAGTTGGTGAGGTTGGAAGAGGGTGTTTTGGTGTTTGACAAATGGTTTTGGGCAGGTTAGCTAGGAGGAGAAACCTGGGTGCTCGGTTGGTTTCTGCAAGAGGAAGGCAACTGGTCTTAGTCTGTGGAGGGAGTGCCAACTGAGATTTGGCTTGGTCCTCGGAGGTCCTACCTGTCGTTTTAGACAGGGAACTTAGGGTTAGGGAAGGCTAGTGTAGGTTGGTTAAATATAGAAGTTAATAATAGTTAGTAGGACTGTGGCAACCATCTGGTAGTAGAACCTTTGGTAGATGGGTAGTATTCTTATTGGTTTGTTCGGTTTTGAGGCTTGAAGCTATTTTCTTTTCTCTTGGAGTGGTTTCAGGACAACGGCCTGGTTTTGGTCATTTCTGTGCCCACACTAGCCTACTCCATTGGCGAGCCTTGGGCTCGTAAGCTAAACTGGTTGATGCTGCCAGGATAACTCCGGGTGGAATTGTGAGGTCCCCGGCCTTGGTACTATGAGTTTAATGCGAGGGGCTATGAACCCGAACTTTGAGGGGGGGGGAAAAAAAAAAAAAAAAAAAAAAAAGGAGAGAGAAAAAGGAGGAAGGCTGTGAGGGTTCCAATAGCGTTAATTCTGCGTTAATCTGCACGAGTAGCGTAGCGTTAGGGTTAGCGTCAGGGTAGGCACTACGCGAGCACTCTAGGCCCAGGGAACGCGATGGATGATGCCTGAGCACGTCAGGGCCGGTCCGGCTTTTTGCACCGCCACCACCATGATGGTCTTGCGGATATCCTTAGTCGTCTGGTTCGGTATTTTCCAAGCAACCGCTCCGTTGGTGAGGGAGATTTGACTAAGGCCTTCGCCACATAGGCTGTCGAAATGTGCGAAACGAGAATGAACTTCCCGCTAGAACATGGCCAGATGCAACTGCCACATTTTTGTCGTTTCCGCTTTTCGACAGGCTGTGTGGCGAGGCCCTAAGGTAAGCCGGCCTGGGGAGGAGGTTTTTTTTTTTTTTTTTCGTCAGACAGTCACACGGATTTTTCCAACATATGGGTACGCCGGCCGGGTTAACTCATCACTCGCGGAATAATGCATACTTAACCAGTTGCAGTCTTTGGGTTTAACAAAGACATTAAGAATGATTATGCATTTCATTTCAAATCAAAACTTGACTGAGGCCGGGACCCTCACAACTGTACCCGGTGTTATCCTGGCAGCATGTTACATGCTGCGCCTGCACACACAGGCTATTTTCCAGGCCTGCGTCCTTCAGGCCGAAAGCCTGAAATCCAGGGTTTACAGGCCCCATGTCGGTTCAGCCCGAAAGCCTGAATTCCAGGGCATATCCCTATGTCGTTTCAGACTAAAAATGGCAACAACCTTTTTAGCCTGAACCAAAGGGCCATTTTCGGTCGTTCATCAGAACGACCGACCCTGAAACTCAGGCACCGAACCACGGTTTCGAAAACAGGCTATTCTTAGCCTGTTCCCACAACAGCCTCAGCAGGCTGCTGCACGCCAGCCCCTGGCACACTTCGGCATTGGCAAGAGGTGCCTCCTCGGCCTGGCTTGCCCTTCAGGCAGTCAGGAGGCAGGCCGAGGTAGTACATAGGAACCTCCCAGGCACTTCACGGAGAGGCGGAGAGGCAGAGAGACAGTTGTAGTCTTCAGGGTTTGGGAGCAACACTCTGGAGGGAGCGCTGCAGAGTTTTAGTAGTAGCGTTAGCTTGTAGTCTTCAGTGTTGGGCGCAGTAGGTAGCTGTAGTCTCCAGCGCTGGGCGCCATAGCTAGATAGTACTAGAGAGAGAGAGAGATTGGGCGGAGGCGAGAGACACTTACCTGCAGCGCCGTTGCTCCAGCTTCGTCTTCAAGGTACCTGCAACACAACGCCAATACCACAGGTCAGTATCTGGCTCATAACAGTGAGAGAGAGTTCTTCTTCTTCCTCTTCTCAGTCCACC